GTCTGGTCACAGTGCAAAGTCCGTATCTTCCATCCGCACCACATCTTTCCTCACCTTTCCTTTATTATGAGTTTTATAAACTGATCCTCATTTTGTTAATGCACACAATTTTCTTATTGAGCACAGATTGGAACAAAGGGTTCAATCACATTTGATTAATGGGATTTTTTTCCTTTTGTCTTCACTGAGGCTTTCAGCTGGGATCTGAACACTACCACAGCTAACAAGGATGGCTACAGTGTTGCCTGAATAGGCAAAGAGTAAGCTGCAGAATTCATAGAAAAGGAGGAATGCCATCCAGAGGAACCTGCACACGCTTGTGAGGTGGGCTGATGCCAACCTCATGAGGTTTAACCATGACAAGTGCAAGGTCCTACACCTGGGTCAGAGCAATCCCAGGCACAGCTACAGGTTGGGCAGAGAAGAGATTCAGAGCAGCCCTGTGGAGAAGGACTTGGGGGTGCTGGTTGATGAGAAAATGAACATGGGCCGGCTTCAGTGTGCGCTTGCAGCCCAGAAAGCCAACCGTATCCTGGGCTGCATTAAAGGAGCGTGACCAGCAGGTCAAAGGAGGTGATCCTGCCCCTCTACTCTGCTCTCGTGAGACCTCACCTGGAGTATTGTATGCAGTTCTGGTGTCCTCAACATAAAAAAGGACATGGAACTGTTGGAACAAGTCCAGAGGAGGGCCATGAGGATGATCAGGGGACTGAAGCACCTCCCATATGAAGACAGGCTGAGAAAGTTGGGGCTGTTCAGCCTGGAGAAGAGAAGACTGTGTGGAGACCTCATAGCAGCCTTCCAGTATCTGAAGGGGGCCTATAGGGATGCTGGGGATGGACTCTTCATTAGGGACTGTAGCGATAGGACAAGGGGTAATGGGTTAAAACTTGAAACAGGAGAAGTTTAGATTGGATATAAGGAGAAAATTCTTTCCTGTTAGGGTGGTGAAGCACTGGAATGGGTTGCCCAAGGAGGTTGTGAATGATCCATCCCTGACGGTGTTCAAGGCCAGTTTGGACAGAGCCTTGGTTGGCATGGTTTAGTGTGAGGTGTCCCTGCCCATGGCAGGGGGGTTGGAACTAGATGATCTTAAGGTCCTTTTCAACCTTAACTATTCTATGATTCTGTGATTCTATGATTTTCAGATCCTCTGGGCTTGAAATTTATCCTAGAGTGACTATGAGCCAGCTGAACCAACTGCAGACCCAGTAGTCACTGTCTTTGGACACTCAAGGAGGATAGTGATGTATCAGAGGACTGGAAAAGATACACGTCTTTATATTCAGAAAGGCAGGGAAGTAAGCTCTCGGGGAGTTATAGATCAATTTGCTAAGCTTCAGTTCTCAGAAAAATACTGATGAAAGTAAGAACATAGACAAAATAAAGATGAGGAATAGCCAGCATGTATCTGTTATTTAATCTAGTTCTGCAAATGACCTTGGTGATAAAAAAAAAGCAGCTGACTTCACATTTCTTGTAGCAGTCATTCACAGATCCATTAAAACTGAACAGGCACCACATTTCATGGCCACAGTCTTTTCTAGACTAATCATGATCAAGCAAGTGCATGCCCTGCCTCTGACCTGTCAGGCCACAACCATGCATAATGTACTTTGGTCATTGACCATGCTGCCTCAGATCCCCTTGCACATCTAGATGGAGCTCTATTTGTGGCTGGAGCCTTCTTTGATTTACTCTTAGATCTTCAACATGGATGTTGGCTTGACATACCCCTTTCATTCATTCTCCCCCCTTGGCACTTTTCTCTCCCCAAAACAGGAGAGGCATTTTTATTTAATCTTTGATATTTTGACTCCTGGAGCTGCTGAGCCTCCAGTTTGTCCTGAGCCCTGGTGCATATGGAGATGGTCTGGTTTTTGAAGTTCTCTTTGAAGTCCAGACTTGGTGACCTCACCCAGAGCAGGGGCTTATATGGGCATGCAGAGTTTAGACATGCAACCCATTTGCTATAGGTAAACCTCCAACACTGTCAAGAGTTTAACCCTGGGGTTCAAAATCAGCAGGTAGCAGAAGACTCTGGAGAAGAAAGCCTGCAGAAATTTCTCCTTGTGAAAATGTTCTGTGTCTTAACAGAGCCCTGGACTTTGCATTTCCAGCCCAGTCCATGTCAGCACCAAAGATGACATCTATGATAATGAACTAAAGAGGGTCTGGGTACAGGCTTAAGCACTTGTCTGCAATCATCCCAGCTGCTTAGCTACTGGCATACCGCCTGTCATGGTTTTGATCTGTGTCAACTGGCAGTCCCTAAGCAATTTTCCAGGCTCAGTCTGTAACTGTTGCCTATAGGAAGTATGGGTGGGAATGAAGGAGTTTACCCCAACAGATGTGAACTATGCTACATTATCTGTCCTTAAGACAGAAGAACAGGTCCTGGCCCAGTTTTATTTATCAGTATTAGCAAAGACACTGCCTTTTAGGATAATACAAGGACTTGTCCGTTAGCCAAATGGTAACTGGATAAGAGGTCTTTGATTTTAACACGGCACAGTGCAACCCTGCTTCAGATTTCCTGTCCCCAAATGGCCACTAGTGAAACTCATCATCAGTATTCCAACTCTTGGAGATGGTCACAGAGCAAAAGACATAGGCTCAAAGAACCAAGTAAAAGCTTAAGGACGGGTAGCACCCTACTACATTAAAACATGGGGAATGCAGGCAGATAGATCCTCATGGGGAGCATATTCCCCATTCCCATTGCCATTGTCAACTAAATGTCAACTAAAACAGCTGCTTGGGTTCATCAGGGTGGTATTCCTCTACAGGGTCATCCGTCCTCGGATAACAGTCAGAAAGCTGAAGACAGTCTAATTCCTGGACTTCAAATGGGCAAATCTGAACGTAATTCTAGTCAGGACTTGTCTTCCCTGAGCTGTCAGGGACAGATGTACTCTACAGCTCACTTGGGATCCACTTCAAGCATGGGTCTGCCTGTGTCTTGCTGGCATGTGTTGTTGACTCTTCAAATAATACTGCACTATGCCAATTTCTCAGGAATATATCCCCTCCATATAACAGGTCTGCTCTTCTGTACTAGTAAATTGATAGGCATGCCATGCGAATCTTCTTCACATTTCTCCATCACGATTTATTCTTCCTTCTCTGTTAGGGTTTCCTTGGACTTCTACAGAAAATTAACTGGGCCTCCTAATGGAAGTTTGGAAACTTACCTCTGTTCAACTCCAGTACTCTGAAAGGTAAAGGCAGCTGTAGTTGTGACCAGCAGCTCTGATGCCAGGATGTAAAGGTGCTGTCATTAAAGGACAATCTTCTCTGGGGAGAGAATCTATAACCTTTATTTCATAGCCAGAAGACCCATTTTTTGATTCACTTAGGTCAGGAAACAAGTTTTGCCTGGAAGTTTGAATAGGTCTGGTTCACCTTGATAGGAATTGATTCTGCTCATCTGAGGTGAACTGCCTGGACTGAAGGACACAGGGTTGCCCATTACTTTGGCTAAAGCAAAATCTGCTAACTTGGACCTCCTTTCTGGCCTTCACAGAGCCCTGTGTCTTTTCAGAGGATTGGAAAATGACTTTTCCTTGGGTAAGGGTGTGCTGAGATCCATCTCACTTAAAGCAACCTGAAAAAAACACCATACACTTTTGAATACCTGAGGCACTGTCTGTGGTCACCAAGGACAGAATTGACAAGTGGATGATCTTCTTCAGGACATGTTGATCCATGTAAAAATTTTCTGTCTTTTCTCCTTTTCTTCTTCACAGCAGTCTAGTTAAGTGTCTCCATGAACCCAGACTGAACAGCCTGTGGGCTTATGAATGCATGCTATCCTTTATCTTGGCTTGGATTAGAGTACCCGAGTAGATACTATTAATACTGACAAAGTTCCCAATCTCAAGTTCTTACAAGGCACATCCATAGACTGGGTATACATGTGTACAACATTCTTAGAGAAACACCCATGCGTCAGAGAAATCACTTAACAGTAACTTCAGCAAGGCTTAGGTGCTGCTCCACAAAACACTCTCGTGAACAAGGTGAGAAAATATAGAGTAAATACATAAAAAGTCTGCTGGAAAACTGGGCTCAAAGGGTAGTTATTGGAGTCTGTGACTTGAAGGCTTTATTAAACAGATGACCTATGGACCAGTCCCAGGCCAAGTAGAAGGCAATTTATCCATTAATGGTCCTGACACAGGAATAGACAATGTTCTCATTGGTGCTGTGGGTGGTAAAAGCTGGGGGAGGAGAGAAATACAGACCCTTTGAAAGGCAGGATTAGAATTGAATGTTTCCTGACCAATTATAGAATCACAGAATCATAGAATGGTTTGGGTTGGAAAGGACCTTAAGATCATCTAGTTCCAACCATCCTGCCATGGGCAGGGTCCACTCACGTTAGACCATTTACATCAAGAACCTAAAATAAATGGCCAGTAACTCTGTAAGAATAAGGGCAAAGCATGGTATATGGGTAGTAATAGGCTACACAAATACAAATTAGGTAACTGCCTAAGCAGCAGCTCTGCAGAGATGGAGCTGGTGATTAGAGTGAATATGAGTCATAGACTTGGTGTTGCTGTAAAAGCAGGCAGATGCCATACTCAGATATAGGAAGAAGAGTCATAAATAAGGTCAATATTTCTTTCTCCATTTTATTCATCCCTTCAAGACATCTGGAATTCTGTGCATTTTCCACACAACTCCAGCTGGACAGTGCCCTGAGGAAGACAGGGAGGAACATTTTGCCTAAAAGCAAAAGGAACTCCCCCAAAACCAACCTGGAAAGAAGAGAAAGAATTTGGTTTGGTTAATCTAGAGAAGATAGGGCCGAAGGGGAGGAGGGAGAGGGGGAAAGGATGTTAATGCTCTTTGGGTTATGATAAAAGGTTGCTACCCAGAGGAGGGGACCAAACTAACTTTATGTGTGCCAAGCCCAGGGCAGCAAGTCATGCAGAAAGACATTCGGACAAAGTAAGCTCTGGAACAGATGGCCTGAGAGACCTGCAGTATTTTAGAAACAGATTGTAACATACCAGCAAAGACTGATATAGGCATAATCAGATTTAGAGGTGGGGCAAGATGACCTCTCTGCTTCCTGTCATGTCCTTGACATATGATTCCATGATCCCGTGATTAGTTTTTAATTCAGTACCATATCAATGTCATTACTTGCTTTGTTTATTCACTTTTTTTGCCAGCATTTCTTCTGCTGGTATCATCCCTCTCTTCCCTCTCCTGCTCTCTGATAGCCTATCTTAGTGTCTTGTTGTCCTTCTCCTCCCTGAAAGGCAAACTCTTTCATATCATTAGTTTTTCTCACACCACCACCTTATAAACAGCAATTTTCTTCAGTTGCACATTCAAAGTAGGTGGTTTTACCCCCAGACATTTAAGCACAGAAAGGTGAATCATTGTTTTTTGTTCCTTCTTTATGTTCTCAGAAGGGTGGTGGGTTGTGTGCTCTCAGTGACGTGAAGCTTTCTCTCACACCTATGGGCCAAAATCTCTGCTTCAGGATTTAAACAAAAGTGTGTTCTACAAGTTTAGAAACAAGGGGAAGGGTAAAAAAGAAGCTATTACAAGCTGAAAGTCTTACAGATGCCTATTTTTATCGCATGTTAGACATTTAAGCACAGATTTTGGCGGCAGGCCTACTCAGCTCCATCCACAGTCAACTGAGAGAGAGGAGCATTTCTGGTGTGTGATTCATCCTGACTAACACCTGAGTTGCCTCCTCATGTTGCCAATTACAGGACTTGAGAGAGACTTGGCTTTGGGCTGGGGGCCTTAGGGGGCTGGAGGCACTCAGGTGCTGTCAAAGGCACTGTTGTAAGCAGGAACGAATGAACCTGGTTAGCTAAAGGAAGCAAATTGTTAAGGTGAGTGGTAATTGCAATAAGTAATACTGTCCTGGGATGATGGGGAAATGTTTGAAGCAACCCATTTTTTTTCAGTACTACAAAGGACTGTAATATGTTCCAGGAACAGTTTTGAGAACTCTGTTTCAGTTGTCCTTAACTGTGCTGATGTTTAATTTTTGCGTGTTTTGGCCTGTTTAAAAAATCATTCTATCTGAAGAAAAGAAAATCCCAGTGAAACTGTGGGCAAATCCTGTTTTTGCTGAGCTTGAAGTGATAGAAAATAGCTAAGTTGTGCTGGGGAGTGGTGCTTTGACTTATTTCTGCTTCCTGTAAATCCTTCTCTCCTCTCCTTGGTTTGACCCTTAGCTTTACATCCAGGTGATCTGGGCTGGTTGGTGTGCTCCCTCCTGCCTGGCTCAAGGGGCTGGACAATTTCAATTTTCTACTGCATGCTGAGGGATTCAAAGCAGGAGTCCCATGGACTCAACTCACAGTAAGCGTTGTGTCATGCTTATTTTTTGATTCTCCTAAGAAAGCGTCTGTTCATTCATCTGAGGAAAGGACTCTATGTCCTGTCTGAACTGGGAGAGCCCTCTGATCATCACCCAGAAGCAAGGAAATACTTTTCCAGCTCTCTCATCCATGTTTCTTGCACCTCTTTATTGCCCCCTTCTTCTCTGTTCCATAAACCTTTTCTTCACTCACAAGCCCTTCCCCAAGGGCTTCTTATCTTCCATCTGGCCTGGAAGATGTCCACCATCCACCATCCTGTTGTCACATCTTCCAGCAAATGCTTTTGAGTATCTGCCCATGGCTCTCATTGCCAAGAACACCTCAAAAGCACTTCCATAGGTCCAGCTGGAAACTATCCTCTGGTAGCAGCCACATTGGGCAGAAATTGTTCAGGACTGCTTGTCCTTGTATTCCTCCATTAGTCAATACTTGCCTGTTGTCTGCAGTGCTATATTTAAATGGTGAACCACTTGGAGCACACCCTGCCCCTTCTTTTTGTGATTGCACAGTGCCTCACGTAATAGGGTATTGCTTCATGATGGGTGCTGTTAGGCATGGACGCAAAGCAAATAAATAATATTAATGCAAATAAGAGCCTTTCCTTAAATCCTGTTTTTGTCTTTCTTTTCTTTATCTTCACTGTTATAGCTATGCTTATTTCATGTAGAAAACCACTCAAATACAGCTTGGTTTGTATCTTCCCAGAGAATGTTGCCTTCTTAGTCCAAAGTTAAAGATACTGAATACCGAGTCAAGCAACATGGAGGTTGTTTTTAATCAAGTAATTTCTCTTGGTGGACACTGCTTCTGTTTGGGAATAATTTGCTTCAGTCTCAGCAGAAGCCAGTGTGTACTATTGAAGCCCATACTTAGTTAATTTGATTTTCTGTTTAGCTTGATCAGTACCTCAAAGAACAGCTCTTTTGTATTAAAATAAATAAATAGCGTACACCTTTCTTTCTGATCACTGTAAGAACTGCTACTGAATAATTAAGTTCATTCCTAGAAAACATCCTTATTTCCCCACAGATGCCTCACTAAGCGTGGCATGCAGAACATAGGACATTTACAGCTGCAGCTGGGTAAATTGGTAGTTTTTATTTTTACAGCAAATTTGTCTCTGAATGTTGTTTTAGTTAATCCCAAACTATTTTTATAGCTGAGAAAAATGCATCAAGTAGTTTTGGCTAGATGGTGGATCCTGAAGCCTATCAGAGAAAAGAAATCCACAGTTTATGTAGCACTCTATGGGCAGTGGTATCCGTGCAGTAGAAAACTCACACATAAGCCCCGTTTCTGCATGTAAGACCTGAACCCTGCTCCCCAGAGTGCTCTGAACAACAGCCTGACAGGGTTTCATGGAAAAAGGCTGACCACGAAGTTCTTCTCAAGTCTTACACAGGATGGGATATTGCAACACCCTCCTCTAATTTTGCTGTTATTCTGCCTAAGGGATGGAAAAGACAGACCCTGACATTATAGCAAGATGCATATTGCTAGTAAAATTCATTATTCCTAGCAAAGACTGTTTCTAAAAGCTTGTACTTAGGTAAGAAAGAGAAAAGACATAAAGCTTCGGGTATAAAATACTAGATAGTCATTAAACCATAGGAAATTTCAGGTTCTGGTGTGCTTGGGCAGCAGCCTGATGGAAAAGAAGACAAAGGATGGAACTGTATTTATAGCATGAGCAACTTGGTCCCCATTGGTATGTTCACTGCATCCCAGAGAATTAATGGCTCTGTAAATGAGCCACTGAAATGGTAAGAGTTATCTACATATTCCATTTATTTCATAATAGCTGTTAATCTTACACAGCCTGATTTAATAAAACAGATCATCAAATCTTGATTTTCGTGTGCTTAATTTAACCTGTAATTAACTGTGCATTATACATGTAAATTGAATTCAGAAGTCTCTAAAAGTAAATGTGGATGGGGCTACAGTCTAAAAACAAGCATACAAAGCTATTGCTGAACTCCTTCCCATGTGTGAAAAAGGACCAGTTGGTGATACAGGAACAGCCTGTGCTAGTGGGTTCCCAGAGAAGGTGAGGAGGAAAGGGAGGTAGTAGCCTAATAGGCCACATCTGTCAGAGCCTCTTGCCCCAGCATGTTCCTTCTGGGCAAGTTCTGCTGTGATGAAGTTTGGTTGCTTTCATGGCCCAAAGTGCAAAGAGAGCCCGGAAGCTGGAGAGGAGATGTAAATGTCAGTGTTTCCTCTTGGGGAGGCCACTGTGTTGCATTGGACTACCTGTCCTGTTAGTGAAAGAAATAGATATCTGAAAGGTGAAGTGCAAGAACACACTGAACTCAGGGTAACAAAGCTTGGTACAATGGACCCTTGGTCCAGATCTGCGATTTAACTCTGAAGCTGAATGGAACTGGACATTTAAATAATGGCTTCTGTATGCTTGTTCAGTTCAAGCTCAAGTTCAGTGACAAACCAGATCTATAATGAAAACAGAAACCTTTAATTACAATTACTCCAATGCCTTAACGCCAGGTTACACTCTTGTTGCATGGTCATGTTAAGCCAGCTCAGATCCTGGCGCAGATCAAGTCCCATTCTACCAGCTCCCACACATATGCCACCTCTCGTCCTCTGATCCTTCCCTTCTGCCAGCACACACAGTTGTGTGGCCAGGCAATAAACTGGCTCAGGGAACTCATCTGGCTTGAAACAAGCCCTTTGTCCTCCAAAAAGTATTGCCCCCAAACCCTCACAGGACACATTTGGGGTGAGCTACCATGAGCAAAACCTAGGGTGAGGTGGCTGCAGCCTGCTCTTGCTCTCTCTCCTGTTGGGGCCATAAACCCTCTCAGGGTCAAAAGTAGTCAGAAATGGAAAAATATCCCCCAAAATTCTAAGTTTTATGGGAGTGATTTAAAAAAATTGGCCAGTCCATGCCTCTGTATTAAGCAATTATGTTGTCCTAGTTCTTCGTCTGAAATATGCTTTTTTCTCTCCATGGTTGTTAAAAACCTTCAGTGAAGAATGTACTTTCAGATTCAAGATAAAACGAGAGAAGATTAATTTCTTCTATCTCCTAACACCATCTGTTCCTTTTTAATTCCTTTTGTCTTTACATATGTATTTATTGAGTTGTGAAGAGATTTGAGTGATGTGCTCTCCAGTAATTGCCTATGATCCTCAATGTAGCTATGGAATATATACATTAATAAGCCTTGAGAGGTGAAGGGACGAATACCCCGGCATGTACACACCTTTAGTAGGTATTTATTTTTGAAAACAGGCACGTAAACAGCCATGTTGGAACTTGCAAAACCTCTTGGTGTAATTATTACTGCCCTATGACTGTATCCCTGGATGATGAACACTCTTAACACAGTTCAATGCAAATATTTGCTGAGTTAAGAAAAAACTCTCTTTCTTGTTGGAAATGGACTTTACTGGGTTACAGTACTAAGAGATGTCAGTTCCTTGATATGTTTGAGGAATTAATGTTTCATGTTTCTAAAACCCATCTAAAAGGATGATTTGCATTACATAGGGTAACCATACTTAAGTCTCCCCCGTTTTAAATGCAATCCAAATCAGTGTGTAACTGGAAAGAAACAAATATTTTAAATCCTGTTCCTGTAAGGGGTGGTCACAAAAGGCACTATCAACTATCAAAGTTGGTGATGTGTTGTGAATTTCTTGGCACATTCAATAGAAACCAAACCCTGGTTGAATGATTTGTACCTGAAAATCTTTTCTAGTAAGCACACAGTGCATTGGGTTTGCAAGGCAAGGTTTTGGCAGTGGGGGCATGCACTGGTAGCTTTTGTGAGAAGCTGCTAGAGGCTTCCCCCATGTCTGATAGAGACAATGCCAGCCAGCTACAACATAGACCCACTACTGGACAAAACTGAACCCATCAGTGGTGGTAGTAGCGCCTCTGGGACGAGGTATTTAAGGGGGGGGGGGGGGGGCGGAAATTGCTGTACAATAGCAGCTGGAAGAGAGGAGTGAGAATATTTGAGAGAAACAACTGTGGTGAAGAAGAAGAGGAGGAGGTGCTTCAGGCACTGGAGTAAAGATTCCCCTAAGACCATGGTGAGGCAGGCTGTCCCCCCTGCAGCCCATGAAGGTCCACAATGGAACTATCCCCCCTGCAGCCCACGGAGGACCCCACAACAGAGCAGGGGCATGCCCAAAGGAGGTGTGACCTGCACTGGAGCAGGCTCCTGGCAGGACCTGTGGCCCATGGAAAGAGGAGCCCTCATTGGAGCAGGTTTGCTGCAGAACTTGTAACCCCATGGGGGACACAGGCTGGAGCAGTCTCTTCTTGAAGGTCTGCATCCCAGAGAAGGGACCCACACCAGAGCAGGCTGTTGCTGAAGGACTGCACCCCATGAAAGGGACCCACACTGGAGCAGTTTGTGAAGAACTGCAGCCCAAGGGAAAGACTCACATTGAAGAGATACATGGAGGACTGGAAAGGGAAGAATATAAAGAGAAAGGAGTGGCAGAGACAACATATAATGATCTGACTACAATTCCCATTCCACATCCCCCTGTGCCACTTGGGTGAGAGAACGTAGAGAAACCAGGAATGAAGTTGAGCCTGGGAAGAAGGAAGGGGTGGGGGGAAGGTGTTCTATTTGTTTTTATTTCTTATTAGCCTACTTTTTATTTCTTATTAGCCTACTCTGAATTGATTGGTAATAAATTAAGCTCATTTCCCCAAGCCCAGCCTCTTTGCCCTGTATTTGCTGAGTGAGCTCCCTGTCCTTATCTCCACCTATAAGCCTTTCATCATACTTTTTGTCCCCCAGTCCAGCTAAGGAGGGGAGTAATAGAGCAGTTGGTGGGCACCTGGTGTCCAGCCAAGGTCAACCCACCACACATGGTTATGCTGGAAGTGAGATGTCCAAAGCAACCTTTAGCAGGTTTACAGGCTTGTAATGTGTAAAAGTAAGGAAAACTGGTCATGGGAGGAAACTCCAGGCTGCTTACAGTAGACAGCATGAATATAGCCATTGTCTTGACAGTGTGGGGAGACCATATGCCTGGTTTCTATACAAAGAAAACTTCAGCATAAAAGGGTGCTCTAAAGCAATCCACCCCTCACATGTGGGACATAAGGCAGAGGTCATTTGCCCGTAACTAATCCTATTGTAGAGCAATACTTTTAATGTGATCCATCTGCTAACCTGCAAGGCCACTTCTTCAGTCCTTCACATCATGCAGGATCATTCCTCAAGTCACCAAGTCAACATCTTCTCCTCTGGCCCTTGGGTCACTAAGTCTGATATTCAGTATTGTCAGGATATGGCCAACGTATTCTACCTTCTTTATCTCTACTTTTCGTGACCTCACATTGTCACCAATCATTGTCTCATAATTTCATTGTGGACATCTGATACAGATCTCCAACTGAAAGTTGTTAAAAAGTACTTGGTAAACCGATTGCTTCTCCCTGATCCACAATTTAGTGAAGACATTATTTATATCAGACTGTGTATTCTCACCAGTAGTCCTTCCCTTGCCCATCTGAGCCCAGCACCACAAACAGAGTCACAGGGGATGTGAGATGTACTGCCTGGGTAAATAAATGTGACAACAATGCTTGCAGTTGCTCCTTCTAGAACAGTGGTGCCACGTAAGGTCATATTTATTTTCATAGCCTTTGTTTCTTGACCTGTTGATTATAAGACCTTATAGTTTTGTTGTTCTGACTAAGCTGTCTTTTGTTGTATCTCATCTACTGATGAATAGATATCCTGAGCAAACCAAGACTGCCAAACACCCCTGGGACTCCAGTCTCTGTGCCAGATATTTGTCACACAGCAATATAAGACATTGGAGGGAGATCACCTGTGCTGGCAGTGACATCAAAGCAATCCTTTAATCACTGGTGTACTGAGAAATATTCTGGAAAATTTAAATTATTTTACAAAGAAATCTGTAAATTTTCAGTGTCTTGCTATAACAGCATCTGTTGGTAAATGCTTTCTCACAATCACTGAAGTGTAAGACTGCCAGTTGTCATTATATTTTTGTTCACTAGTATTAGTTCATCTCATTATGTAGCGTGAGGATAGGGTCAATGAATGAAGAATTAGAAAGAAAACAATTAGCTCTACTTAGTGGCACTGTGGCTTCTCTTCAGAATAATTGTACAAAGCCACTTTTTCGACAGGAACATTATTTACCTACAGTTGTTTCACATTTTTTCTTAGGCAATTCTGTCATGGTGCATTTCCTCCTTTCCTTTGAGGTAAATTTTAGACCCTGTTCCATCTGGAATATTGTGTCCAGTTCTGGGCCCCTCAGTTCAAGAAGGACAGGGAGCTGCTGGAGAGAGTCCAGCGCAGGGGAACAAAGATGATTAAGGGAGTGGAGCATCTCCCTTATGAGGAAAGACTGAGGGAGCTGGGTCTCTATAGTTTGGAGAAGAGGAGACTGAGGGGTGACCTTATAAGTGTCTATAAATATATAAAGGGGGAGTGTCACGAGGATGGAGCCAGGCTCTACTCAGTGGCAAACAATGATAGGACAAGGGGTAACGGGTGCAAACTGGAACACAAGAGGTTCCACTTAAACTTGAGAAGGAACTTCTTCTCAGTGAGGGTGACGGAACACTGGAACAGGCTGCCCAGGGAGGTTGTGGAGTCTCCTTCCCTGGAGACATTCAAAGCCCGCCTGGACACATTCCTGTGTAACATTATCTAGGTGTTCCTGCTCCGGCAGGGGGATTGGACTAGATGATCTTTTGAGGTCCCTTCCAATCT